TTAGGTATTTTTAATTAACAGAATGAAGAAGTATTAGTGAAGTCATAAAAAGCTGACACTGAGAGATTCAGTAAAATGTTGACTGACAATGCTTTTCATCCTAAAACATCTTAACCATCAATTAATGTGGTTGTTTTTCTGATAGGGACATCCTTGTCAACCCACTGAATGCACCAAATAGTCAAGCAGCCAGCAAGATAGTAAACCAGCTTCATAAAAAATCACTGAGCTGGCCACCCAGCAACCAATCAAATAGTCAGCAGCGCAGTCAAGCATCCAGAAAACTAACCACTTTGTCAGTCATTCCACCAACAAGCCAGTGAACCAATCTGTCTGCCATTCTGCCAACAAACCAACCAGCCACTGACCCTGCCAAGCCACTCATCCTGCCAAAATATCACCAAATGAAACAATCACACACCTAACCAATTGATCAGCAGCAAACTGGTTCACAGACTAACCATCCCAGAGGCCAGGCAGCTTTTCAGCCAGCTAGTCACTCTTCACCCCCACACACAGAAAATGTGTTACATTTCCATCTAATGCGATCTGTTGAAGTGAAGAACAAAGGCAGGGGCATGAAATCTCTCATCTCACGCTACCTTGTTCACTACCTAACACTCATTATTTTGTTCTCTCAGAGTCCTCCTCACTATTACTTTGTCCTCTGTCTCTCATTCTTCGTCCTCTGTGTGTGTGTCTCCATGTACTTTTTGATTCCTTTTCCCTTTTGGAGTGGAGTGATGCAGGACAGAGATTTGGTGCAAAGTCTTTCTCACAGCGCTACAGCCTCAGAAAGATCTCTTACCGTGTGTATCAATTTCTTTCTAAATGACGCACAGTACGTGTGTGTGTGTGTGTGTGTGAGTGTGAGAGAGAGAGAGAGATGGTGGCCTAACCATAGCAGGAGTTTGGAGAGTCTTGGGAAGCCACAGCATGCCCTCTTCCCCTACTAAGATGAATATGGCTGCAGAGAAAATGGATTTTTTCTTTTCTTTTCTCCTTCATTCACTCTTTCATTTTTCTCTTCCTGTCCGTCTGCACAGTCAAACTACCAGCTTCCTGTTTTTCTGTTTACTTTCTCCTCTCACCCCCCTTGACTCTTTTTACCCTCTCCTCTCTCCCACACACCTGCTTTCATTGCTTTCTCCTCCTTTATGCCTTGTGTCTGAGACGATGTTATTTTCCAGTCATTTTCTCCTGAGAGGGAATGTCACCCCACCTTTAATGCTTGTTCACCTTTGGTTTTATAACAGTGCCTCCAGATTGGCCCCCCTCACACAGACCTACACATTACAACAGACATGGGATCTGCAGTTTTGAAACTCAACATCGAATGGGACTGATCCCTCCAGTCCATATGAAATGACACACACACACCATATATCAGTCATCACATTCTCTATTGAAGATACTTCCACAGGATCATTTTATTTTAAAAGAAGACTTGACCTTGTTCAATTATTATCTGGTTCCTTGAATCATTAAATATGCTGAGTATTAGGTAAAAGATGTAGATCATCATCAGGTCATATACTGGGGCTGTTACACAGTACACAAAATGACTATTACTCCGAGACATTCTAGGGAGATTTTTAGATTTCTGCAGAATCCATGTACTGTAAACTAATGGACTGTTAAATGTAGCATCTATAAGCAACTCACCTGAAAAGTTTAAAGTGGCTGAATGCCAAGGTCAGTAAATACTGGCAGTGGGGTTGCCTGCCATAAAGTACTCTTAATGTAATTCAATTACAGTAGTTCAGTAAAAATTCTGTATTTATTAGGGGTGTGAAGGTACACATATTCACAACGAACCATTTCAATATACAGGACTTTACAGCAGGTTTGGTGCAGCTGTGTATTGAATGCAGTTTTAACAGTAGTTATTAGCAGCAGGCTTGTTTTGCATGCGCTTGAGAGTAGTCTAATGTTTTTATTGCCCCTGAAAAAACCCAGCTTGACCTCATGTCAGTCATACAGTATCCAATGTCAGGTGGAAATATGAAATTACTCCAGGATAAAAAGACTTAGTTCAGGGCACTGGCAGTGGGCACACAGCAACAATAATATCTGATCAAGGGCAACAAACACACTGACAATATATTCTCCTTTTGCACTGTAACAAGTTTTACATACACCCTTGTAGTAATATACAGAAATATGATCCAGTATCTCCCCAGTAAGGTGCTGTACCTCTGTGTGTGTTAATAAGAGGCCCTGAGACAATGACAGACACCAAGCTCTAATTAGGTTGTCATGCTGAGAGAGCAAGGGAAAGACAGAAAAGGAGAGAGAGAGGGAGAGAGAGCTTATTAAGGAGGATAGGTGTCAGGATGTGGCAGGAAAAGGAGGTGGGAGGAGAGCGGGGGGGCTCTCAGAGAGACTCGGATGTAGACAGGGAGGAGTGGAAGAGAGAGAGAATGGGAAGAAAGTGGACCAGCAGCCTGATGTAGAGAAAGAAGAGAAAAAGGAGGTGGGGGAGAAAGAGTTGTCGGGTGTTGGAAGCAGCTGGTGTGACATAGGGACAGCTATTAGGTGACGGAGGAAAAGGAGTAGGAAGATGAAAGCTGATGGGAGAAAGGTGCAAAGGGAAATAAGCATGTGACAGTGAAGGTGGTGAGAGCGTCGGACGCAGAGAAGGAAGACGAACAGGATCAAATAAAAAAGGAGAGATAGTGATTCGTGGCACTAAGCAAGAGGAGAGATGTTTTTGTGATACAGTGACTCTGCTTGAAGAATAATTCTGGTTTCTTACAACCTGGATCTGGTTTTCACAGTTTTGCCCATTATTCCTCTTGGTTATGACAACATACTGACTAGAGTTATTGCTGAGATCTGGGAACATGGCAACACTACAACAGCACAGATGTCAGCAACAGTACAATGTAATATTCTCAGTTCTGATTGGCTGGCAGGTGAGGGTGACATTTCAACTAACTGAACAGTTTAACTGTAGTTTCTGTAGAACCAGTGTTTTGCTTCTTGTAGGGTGATTCTTTGTCTCTCTGCCATTCATTACAATTACAATAAAATTCAAACTTGTTAAGCATTATCCCTTAAATATAAACAGATGCTCACAACTACAAAATGAAGATGTAATCTGAGTAAACTGCTGGTTCTAAGATCAGAGGTTTACAAAAAAATTAAAGAAACAGATCGAGTTTCTGCTTTTGTCAAGGGCGTGACTCATGACCTCCATCAGCAGATAGAGTTTGCTTAGTTGTCATTAACATGGCTCAGTTTTTTATACCAACAAACATATTGTTCCATATACAGTATATGCATTGAAGTTTCATACTTGGGTAAAGTGAGGCCACTTCCGTCCAGTGGTGGAGGATGTGGGATGTGATTCAGAGCTTTGGAAAAACTGTAAGTGGACCTTTAGGTTTTTCTCTCGCTGTCTTTGTTCTAAATATCTGTTTTAAAACATGCAAATGATTATTTCAGCCAGTGAAATAAACTCAGGCATGAGACAATATTCTCTTCAACAAAAAGTGAAAAGGTCTTAATTCTGAGTGATATTAATTAAGGGTTAGTGCTTTTGGTAGAGGCTTGGTTTATTTTCCATAAGCAACAAATTAAAGAAAATTGTTGCTATTTTTTCAACCCAGATTTTAATGTAATAATAATGCCCATTCTGATTTTTAGGCATGCTAACTTAGTGCAGTTCCAGAGAATCAAAAAGCACAACAGTGTTTATCAGAACAAACAGTGCAACTGAATTAAATTTCAATTTTACATAAAACATTTCAAATACTTGCATTTGAGTCTGACTGAAAACATATCCTCCAGGTTTAAAAATAATAAAAATCTTCATTGAAGCAAGAAGAATCACTGTATAGAGTTATTCAAAAGTCAGTAGGAAGATGCCCTGTTCCCTGACAGACTGTAAATAGTGACTTTTACTGCTTTCTAGAGGACATATTTGAACTCAGTTCATTATTCATATACACATGTGCAAGTAAACAAGAGGCTACAAAGCCAACTGCCACACACAAGCTAGTCCCCCCCATCCACCCCCCCACCACTGTACACAGACATATCCCTAAAGGCCTACACAGGACTGAGGCCAAATTTTGCTGTGGTGCCAATAGCCATATTATAAATATTCAATTTACTAAACTGGCAGCATTCCACATCACTGGCAGAGCAAACAAACACACAAGCACAAACACACAAATACACTTGCAATACCTAGACACAAGAGATATGTTTTGATGTGATGAACAGATCTCAGCAGATGTAATGAAGTAAGGGCAAAAACAGCCATTTGAAAATGAACTCCCTCAGTGCTAATGAACTGTGCACTAGGAGTCCAAATAAACAGCTGTGAATATCTCACAGGCTGGATTATAAATGTGTTATATGTTATATATTAAGACCTTTTTTAATTTTTTTTGGAGAACTGATTTCTGAGGACATGGGGCATTTTTCCTCAAAACAAATAGATTACTGAGCAGCTTCAAATGAACCATTCCTTTTATTCAAATACCAAAAGCAGCACTGACCATTTTTGCCCAAACACTTTAAATGAGCCACCTGAGTAGAGACAGAGCACTTGGAGTCAGAAAACTATTCTAGGGTTGCTCCCATGTGATGAAATAAAAAACAGTGAGGCAGCTATAAGAGCACTGCTGCAGGTCAGAGTCAGGTCAGAGATATTTCGTTTGCGTTCTGGTACAGTAAAATCTTTCCTCTGTTTAGTCTTATGAAGTCACTATACTAGAGCTGCAAGTGCAACTTCAAAATAAAGTCTGTGCTTTGCTCCATGTACTTGAACCTAGCTCCCATCTGGGGAGAGAAGCAGTATTTATGTGATAGTCACGAAGTGTTATGAACAAGACACCCAGCGGATCCAGAAATAATCCTAAATCATGCTTCCTTGGAGAATCTAGGTTGTTCCCCAAAGCCATTTTTAGTCATTTCACTTCAGGGTTGATTCATGGCAGCACCAAATTAGTGGTCAAAATGAACTGCCCTACGTGTAGCTTTATTACCTTAGTACACAGGTGTAGAATCCATTGTCTTCTATTTCAGCAGATCTGAACCAGATGGAGTCGTCTTCTTTACTCAGCCGGTGGCCAGAGAAGATGATGGGCTCCTGTAGGAAAAACCACAATGTTAGGTCATATGAAAGAAGACCTTGATAATGTAATGTAATGTAATGTATAATGTACTTTATAATGTAATGGACTGAAACTTAAATAAAGATACTGTCATTTCACTATTAAATGTAAACACTTCTTCCCATAAGCTCTACCAGAGATGCATATCACCTGTTGTCAGGTCTAAATGTATTCTGGTTAAATCTTGCCTTACATTTCAGATATAAACCACATTTATGAGAATGGGGACAAGTCTTTATTGTGCTCATAGGACCATGGCAGGATTCATCTGTTGCTCTGGTTTCTGTGTATTAACTGAGTTACTGAGCCAGACACAAACAAATGCAGAGAAACTACAGACCATTATAAACCAAGTCCAACCTGCAACAGACGACTCTGACATTTCTTTTAAGTGACTTTCAACACCAGCAGCCTCAAAGTATGTTTGATTCAGAGAGAGAGAGAGAGACCTGGTGCTTTCTAATATGGGTTTCTAATTGGTGCTTTATAATATACCGTTTTTGGAGTTAGTATGAAAGAAACCAGACGGTTTTACACTAAGAGAAAATGATAACATTTGCACTGCCAGAAGTCAGACTGTGACCTTAGAATACCACCCCCCTTACAGTGAACCAAGAGACAGCAAACAAAGTTAACTTTGCTGCTGTTGTTATTTTCTGAGGTGTTTCTGGAGCAGTTTCATCATCATGCACATTTAGGTGTATGTGTGTGTATGTGTGTGTGTGCATGTCTGTTTGTGGCTGTGGTTGTTGGTTGCTCTGCTTCACATGTGCCAAAAGCTAGGTGAGCTTTTGTATGGAAGCCCAGTATTTATGTCAAATGATGCTTTGACCTGTCACTGGGCCTCTCAGTGGATGTCTTTACATGCTGCCAAAAATCTGCCATGCTGCCTGACAGGGCTTCTCTGACCTGCAGGAACTTTAAACTAACCTAACATACTTTTCTGATGTTTTTAACTCTCACGCAAGCAAAGTGAAAACACTCAGCAGCTTCAGCCAGCTGCATGTCTGCGTTGTCACTGGCACGATAGGCAGTTTCTCTTGAATGGTCTGGTCAGTAGTTCAGCCGTTATCCCTACTTATCTAGCCCTAATAGGGCATCATTAAAACATTCTTGACTCCAAGCAGAAAGCAGACACATGCCCAACTGGACTAGCCTTACATCTGCATTGTATTGGGTCAACTGTCAAACCACGTCCAGGTCTTGTATGTTGGCAAAACAAACAGTCATTGCATATCATGGTCTTGGATCACGGCTCTTTAGATTAATAAAATATCACATTGTTATGGAATATAAAACTTAGTTGTCCATTTTAATGTTACATTTGTATTTGAAGATTGTTAAGGAGTTCTTAAACATCAAAAGTGTTTATGTTTTCCTGTTAACTGTCATATGATGCTCGCCACACTTCACAAATTAAACTGCATCTTTGAATTTCATTTCAGTTTAATTTTGGCAGTCTTGGCCTTCCACACTTATCTACTTATTTACTTTTTAAATTTCCTATCCAGACATTATCCAATATGACCTTACCTCTGCATCCCCTTTGTTCTTATACCAAATGAGGCGCAGCTTGGCGTTGGTGGCCATGGTGTAGTTGGTTCGGATGTAGCTGTAGAACAAGGCACATTTCACCCGAACAGGTTCACCTGCCAGAACATGGTACTCCTTCAGATCCACCGACCAGTCTAGGCATCCATCCACTGTGAGGAGGAGAGAAAAAGACAGAAAAGGGAATATTGAGGATGTGGTGATATATAAACAGAATATAACGGACAAACAAATACAACACTGCTCTAAACTGCAGGGGGCAAAAAACACTGATGGAAACAGAGAACAAGGTTAGAAACACAAATAGGCTGCGAGGCAAAACAAACAATCATCAGTAATATAACTTTTTTTTCTGCTGTATAGAAAAAATGCTTTGCAGCGAGAAAGTTTTAGAGAGAAGATGTATGAGATAGAATAAGAAGGAGTGTGAATGATGGAACATATTTTATCTTGTTTCTTTGGCAACACTGTTCTCCACCCTCAAGGCAAAAAAAAATAAATATATACTATATATATATGTTTTTTTTGTTGTTTTGTTTTAGAGAATGTTTGTGCATTTTGGGGGGGTGGCATTAGACCACCAGATTAATGGAAATAGTGGACATAGAAAACATCTTAGATTAAACCAAAGGAGTGACAGAAAATCTAATTAAAAACAAACTTACAATAAAACGACTATTTCCATTATGTACTGCACATATTGGTTTTTCTCCTTTATACTCTCTATTGCAGGACACAGAGATAGCGAAAAAGAGCAATAATTGCAAAGGAACAGACATGAGATAGATTTGGAGAAATAAAGAAAAACGAGCAGGTCGAGGCCAAATCAAAGGAGAGAAAAGAAGCGAGAGGAAGTGCGCGGTGGCGATGTCGAGGTGAGACCCGGTCAACCGGAACGAACAGAAAACAAGTTGTAGATGGAGGACAAGTAGGAGCTGGCGAGACAGAGGTCAGGACAGAAAATGACAAGGCTCCTTTCTAAATGGACTGTTCTTCCCTTCCTCCTCTCCCTGCTCACCTACTCCCTCCCTGCTCTTTGTCTTTTTTTTGTCTGTTGTTCCTCTGGCTTTTTCTTCTCCTTGTGGTCTGAGGCTCTGATAGATGGGCTCTGTTTTAACTGCAGCCCTCAGGCACTTGCCAGAAGGCCTTCCCTCTGAATTACAGCCTCTTCCCTGCAGCAATAAAGCCTCTGAATCTGCCACCCCCGCTAAAATACCTCCTCATCCTTATTGTTCGCCTCTTTCTTGTTTATTATGCAAGACTGGCAATAATCTCGGTGCATATTAGGGGTATAAACACATACAAAGACATTATTTGGATATAAACTGATAATGTGCTTTGAATAGAAGTAAACAAAAACTGAATTTTGGTAGTCATATTAATTTTTTTGTTCTCCTGGCACTTGATTGTCAGTCACACCTTGGAAACACACAAACCAACAACGGTAACTTGCAGTGGTGTCAGGATGTCCACTGAGGATAAACATCCAGAAATGCTTTTGAAATCCTATTTTAAACAAAAAGACAGCTTCTATACAACTCCAGGTTTTGGCAAATAATCAAACTTTTCACTCAAAACCAGTCAAGGTGATTATTGTCTACACAGTGGGAATACTTTAAGTATCAATAACAGACAAAGAAGCTCAACTTTCCATGATACAGATTTACCAATGCAATGTAAGTTTGTTAATGTAGGATAAAGCGTAACAGAAAATAGTATAACAGCTGCACTGGTCCAAAGTGTAAAATGCACTAGTGTCACAGTAACAGCTGTAAACTTGTGACATGGGCAAACGTGTGTTGTATTACAGCCCATTGTCCGTCATTGTGTTTTAAGTGTTTTTTTATTGACCCCAGGGCCTTTTCTGAACCTTAACCATTTAGTTTGTGTCTAAACTTAACCATTTACTTTCAGTTGCAGTGTACTTTCAGTTTCAACTTTCGACTGAGTCACAATGTCACAGTATTCGAGAGCAGCACCTTTATTGTGTTGTGGACCAACATAGCTATTATACATTTTGCTGTGAGACTGGGTTGTCAGAGATGAGCTCAAACAGGGCTGCAGATTATTGTGACATTACTCCTTAGGTGCATTTTTGACTTTCCCACTGTTAAAACCCCCTGTTCCTTGTTCACTATTCATTCCCATCTGGACTATTAAAATATTACAATACCTTTATTGGAGTCACTTTAGTCACTTGGTGCATTTCACAATTATTAAGGTCACTGTGCTTGTGGGAACACTTGATCTACAATATACCTCACCACAGTTTTATTTGGAGGTCTACAGTTTTTGTCCTGACATGCACTGGGAATTGTGGGACCTTACAGGTGTGCTCCTTCAATCAAGTTCCAAGCACACCTTAAGCAAAATGAAAGCAAAAAGCATACACCTGACCACAACTTCGAGGCAAAGGGTCTGAATACTTTTGTAAATGAGAGGTATCAGTTTAGATTTTTAATAAATTAGCAGAAATTTGTAAAAACATTTTTCGTTTGTCATTATGGGTTGTTGAGTGTTGACTGATGGGGAAAAGCGGCGTTGTGATCCATTTACATTTTCGGAAGTGAAGCATTCTGCGTATTTTTTGAAGCCACTGTATGAGGAGTATGACTCATATGGAAACTTTATGTGGCAGCAGAGAACAATTTATCACAGAAAATGAAGCAGCCGACTCATTCTAACTACTTGTAGTAAAATATGAATACAGATACACATTCAGTAACAGCAGTTTATCATTACACCCCTTAATATGGCTAAAAATGTGTAGCATTTGCATTAGGTCCTTATTAAAGTCAGTAGTCAGACATCTGATGGTTTGTTGCCATGATTACCACTGTAAGACAACGTAAACATGTTTTAGCACTCGACAAAATGTGCCAGGTGCAATTTGTGTTAAGGCACTATCAGAGATTTAAAGAATTGTTTGCATAAGTTTGTGTCACATTAGCAATATGCTTTAAGTCATACAGAGGTGGAAGAGATGTGCTTTAGAATTGCTGCACACAGACACACACATACACAATTACCCTTACAAGTGATTTAGTTGTCATTCACATCTAACTAACCAACTAAGATGTGTTTCCCTGACTTCAGAGGACATCACTTTGAGTGACATTGATTTCCAGGAGGCTATTTAAAACATAGCCACTACTTTCCCAACCCTAACCTAACCTTAAACCAAGTTGTCACCCTAAAATGTTATAATTTGTGTTGGGGACCTGATTTTTGTCCCAACAATAAGGTCAAGTCCTACAATGCAACTGTGTAGACATACTTCCAAACAATATGAGTGACCCCCTAACGACACACTTTACTTACCAAGCCATTTAATTATTGACAAGGTTGCCAGATATTCAGAACACTATAGTGACAGCGTGACTGTTTGCAACATGCACATAAGAGATGGAACGCAGTTGTACGACAGACCGACATTGCTTGGTGGTTGTAAATGAATGAACTGACACAAATTGAAGGTGTGAGTGCAGTCCATTCACTATCTAACAGAGCCTCTTAAACACACATAGACACACCCACACACAGCACTCAGGGCAACACATTAGTAGAAAGTCACATTAGTTTGGTCTAGTGGGCTAATGCCTTTTGTTTTGGACAATGTTCAACACAGGTCAGACTCTCACACGTTCATACAAATGCTGAAACACATTAGACTGACAGGGCCATATGCAGCTGCAGGTCATAACCAATGCAAACATCTAATAATTCATTCATCACTGCTTCTACACTTGTGCGTGTGTGTTAGTCTGTCTGTGAGTGCATGTGCAAAAGTGTGTGTGTATAAGCCTGCAGTATGTGTGTGTGCGTACAGGGGAGTGCAGCTGCATGTGTCTGTAGACATATTAAATGTGTGGGCGAGCTGTTAGCATGAGCAGATATATCATTCCCGTCAGCTCTATCTGCATGTGTGTGAATGAAAATAACTCTGGATAAATGGCAATGTTTTTGGGTATGGAAAAGTGCAGAGAGTTTGAGGGCAAAATCGAGGAGTGGCAAATTAAAGGAAAACCCAAAATAAATGACTAGAGAAACATAACATATGCAGATGGTTATGTGGTTTGGGTCCACTTGCCTCCTAGAGGGAAGGGTCACTGCAAATTGGCACAAAGCTGCACTGAGTGATCACCTTTATCCTATGATGAACCATTTCTGTCCTGATGGGAGTGGTCTATTCCAGGATGACAGTGCCACCATCCCTAGGGCACAAGGGGTCATTATATAGTTTGAGGAGTATGAAAATGAAGTGAATCTTATGCTACGGCCTTCACGGTCACCAGATCTGAAGCCAGTTGAACAACTGTGGAAGATTTTGGAGCAACATGTTGCACAGTGCTCTGCACCACCATCATCAAAACACAATATGAGGGAGCAGTGTTTGGAAGAATACTGCTCAGAGACTTGAAGAGCCAAGGTGCCCAAGAAGCTGCTCTGGTGGCACGTGGTGACCCAACACCTTACTGAAACACTTAAATTGGTTTTTCCTTTTATCAGTCCCCTGTCTGTACATGTAAGCAGTTAGAAACAGACACACAGTCACAAATTAATACTTCATTACGCCTTTTTCCTATCGACTGATAACATTTTGACATCAAGGTTCCTCAAAAAAGTGTCTAAAAAAAACTGTTTTAACAAAAATGCTTTACATAATGTGATTTGCATGTAGTGAAGAGTGAGAGCTGTCAGAGGTTTAGTGTTATACACATTGACACTGAATGTGGATAAATGTGAAAAGGTGTAATGGAGCATTATTGTTAAATGTCCATGTTTGCTGATGTCGTCACCTGCGAGCCTCCTCGATTGTGTTTGAGGTGCTCTTTTGCCTTTCCAGTAGTGTGCAAGAGCGGCACCAGGTTGCCAGCTGCCACATGTGGTGGTCGCTGTCCATGGTGCTGAATGTCATACTACAGATGTGTGGGACATGATATTAAGCATAGGAAAGACCCCCCCTTTGTTATTGATATCACAAACTTATTGACAAGTCACTGACTAAAGGAGTTAAAGTGTGGAGGGAAAAAGTTAACTCTTGAGCGACAACCCTTTGCCACCTGGTAATTTTGTTGTTGTTGTTGTGTTTAATGTCCTTTCTGCCCTGCCATGGCCTTGTTTATAGTGAATGTTTATTCTAATGTGCATT